CTCTTTTCCCCTGTGGCCCAGCCTTCCTCAGCACCCATCTGTCTCACCCAGCAGATGTGCAAATCAGGTCATGCATCGCCATCAGCTGGGTGGAGACACAGGAATGACTTCTGATGGTGAGATAGTCTTGCCAATGTCTGTCTGATGACTTGGTCCAGATCCCCTTCTTGCCAAGCACTGGCTCTACTCCTTCTTCCCCTTTTAAGTGATACTTACAGCTACCAATTAAACCTCTCTGTCTCTGTTTCTCTTAGGAAGATATTCTCTGTGACCGTCAAAGCAGACTCAGAAAATTAAAATACAGAATATTCAAGCTGCAAAGGGCCTGAGTCCGTCTCCTCTGAAATCACTCATTTTACAGAAAATGAAACTTAGATCGAAGATAGTGTAACAAAAGGAGTTTGGAAGAATTAGAAGGAGAACAGAAGTGAAAGAAGCTGCAATGTGATCATTGCAGTGTTAAATAATTCATCTTCATAACTTTACCTACCACAAATCCTTCTCTTACCACATTTTGCTATAGAACAAAGGATTTCAAATCATGCTACCTCTTTCATGTTTTTTTATCTGACTACCCTCCTCTCATTTTTTAAGCTGCCTCACTTATTTGTTGATTGCAATTCTGGGAGAGAAGCTGAAACTGCTGTTCCAAAGATATTCTAGGTGTTGTTGTCAGTGATTTTATTACACAGTCCCCCTGAACCCAGCGATCGTGTAAAGTGCCTGGAGGCACGGGGTCTCACTCAAGTCTAGATCCTAGTGTAGAGCCCTCTATTGCCCCCTTCAGACTGCAAGTCAGTTCATTCCAACTAGCTCAATACTCAGGTAAGAGAATACCATACACACACTGACCAACACAGCGGCTAGCATATAGATGATGCTCAATTATTTGTTGGTGAACATTATTGTTTATTTTTTCTCTTAAGTGTTAATAATAAACAGAGTTTTGAGAGATTTCTCTTACAGATTCCTTAAAATATTGGTCATAGATTCGTATATGTGTGAAAGCAAAAAATATAGATATACATAATTATGTTTTTATTGGTTTGGGGAAGTTTGAATCTGTCTATCTACATTAGCTTTACTTGTTAAGAATTTTTGTAAAACCATTATCCTAGAAGGAGGAAATAAAACCTCTCCTACTCCAGGCAGGGGACATGGGAGTCTACTAAGGCGACTTTTCTACTCCATAAACGTGGGGTGAAGTGACTAGGACTAAATTCCACATAGCAGCATCATGGCCTGTTCCAAGAAGCCACTTCCCATCTCACAGGTATTTAGTTCTATGACCTGGATTTGTGAGGTACTCAAAACTACCCATTGTTAAGTTCCTACCATATACTGTACAAGGACTACGAGTCAGAAATCAGTTTTATGTAAGAAATTACATATCAAGATGTTTAGGTTATAAAATGTAGACTGGCATTTTCATTAGCCTAAAAATTCCCAGAAACCAAATATTTGGAAGGCCACGCTTCTAACCCATCAGATTTAGAAGCAAAGGAGTCACCGTATGCACTACAGAGGTCCTTGCATGCCAGAACCTAACATCACCTAATATTGTCCCTTACTCCTATCTGTCACGTTATAGTGGTGCCAGCTAGGCACAAAGCTGGAGTTACATGCAGGGCTAGGAGAGAGCAAGATAAACTACTGCTATGTGCAATTGCTTCACGTTATGTTTATTTGTTCTAAAATATGAAGCTTTTCATTATAGAGAAATAATGTTAAAATATCATATGTTCTCACCTGCCTCCTCAGATTCTGAGAGCAGTTGCTTAGTTGCCTCTGGTGTCCTGGGGGCTGTGTATAGCAGTGGTACCGGGACCTCCTGCTGCCCACCTGTTCCTCTTTCCTGTCTGTCAGATCCTTGAATGTATTGAGCCCCCTTGCACAGAACCCCATATATGCCCTCACCTCTGCATATGCATGCCTTCCTCCCAGAAGAGTGTTTTCCCACCTGGAAAATCTGTGCTTTCTCTGAGACACATAGAATGACGCTGTACTTGGAGCATTCCTTCATACTTATCATTGTAGCTGAGTATTCTTGTATTCTTGTATTCCTTTATTAGATTATTGAGTTGTTCATATTCTCTCTCTCTCTCTTCCTCCTTCACTCTCTCCCTTCTCCCTTCTTTCCTTTCTCACTCCTATAAACTCCAAAACCATTTCTGTGGTACCTAGGACAAAATATGTTTCAATATCTATTTACTGATGAATCCTTGGAACACCGGCATGTGACTTGCCTATAGTCTTTCCAAAGTGGTCACGTTCCTGAAAGCAGCCAAACTCTGGCTTCTGGTGGTTGGGTCTCCTGATATCTGTATAAAACAAGGATCCCTGATGTGTAGTGTTTAATTCACTGGGTGGAATTCTTGAGTACTCATTTCAGGTCCCTTGAGAAGCTAAATAGCCACATTTTCTTTTCTATATGTCCATCTAACACATGGCAGGGCTTTCCTGAAGATATGGCTTGTGGAAAGCATTTATGTTCCATTCCATCTTTTGTCTTCATGGAGATCAGAGACTTTACACTCAAACTGAAAATGAATTTCTAGGGTCAAGAATAACACATGTAATTCACTTCTGAAAGTATGTTACATTTTAATGTAAAATTTGAGAAGTCTTAGAGGCCTTAATGAAGAAAAATGGAGAGACAGAAAAAGATCTTAATGTGTGATATAGAAACCCAAATATAGTGCCTCATGCTTGTGATATCAGGACTCAAGAAGCAGGGGTTGAATGAACCCCAATTACCTTAAGTTCAAGGTCAGTTTGGGCTATCTAAAGGTCTGAGCCTGCCAGAGTTACATATGAAAAACTTATTTTGACAGAAGGCCAATAGCAAGGACCTAGTTAGGTAACTATACTAGATCTACAATGGAATACTGGAAGCCAACAGTAATAGGATATAATTATATGCACTATGCAAGTTAACATTTATCATTTACTCTATTCAGACAGTATACCCATGAAATATAAAGGGAGAATTGATGAATCTGGAAAGTATAATGTTAAGTGATGTGAGCCAAATTAAGAAAAATCCATGGATGGCTCCTAGTCTATATTATGTATAGGTGTGGAGAGATGGGTGGACAGATTGATAGACAGTAATGTAAATGAGGGTAAAGCGTAAACACCAGAAAAGAGGGTGTCAGAGAGATGGTTCAGTGGTTAAAAGCAACTAAAGAAGCCAGGATTGGTTCCCAGCAACCACATAACAGCAGCACACAACCATCTGTAACTCCAGTTCCAGAGATTTTTTTTAAGACCAGCAAATCATGTAGGGAAAAAATGTTGTTCCCCAGTACAAGGAAAAAAGAGGCGGGGGGATTTGAAAGGTGGTGCAACAGTTAAGAGTGCTACTGTTACTGGGTTCAGTTTCTTGCACCCACATGGTGGCTCCAAACTACCTGTACCTCCAGTTCCAGGAGATCCAATTCCCTCTTCTGGCTTCCATGAGCACTGTGCTCACATGGTGTACATAAACTCACTTGGGCACACATATAGACACATAAATTAAACACTTTTAAGAAAAGATTAGAAGTATTGCTTGTGCTAGTTACACAATTGTTAAACAACCAGTATAGAAAGGCATCACATCTTCATGTTAACTTAAGGGTAAGCAGCACTCTCTCTTCCCATGCTGCAGGGACCACTTGATCGTGCAAGAAGGACACAAGATCCTGGACAAGGCTACTCTTGGCCCTGACTGGGATGAAACCTTAGTAGAGTTGTATGGAGAGGTGGCATTTAAGGAGCATCATGTCTTTAAACATTCAAAGACAACATAACTCTAAAGATAACTAAATAATTTCCTAGTTATATCCCACTATTTCTTCCTCTTCCTCCTTTCTCTCCTCTCTGTCTGTCTCTGTCTCTCTCTCTTTGCCATTCATTTATGTATTTACCAAATATATTATTATCTCCCATGTACCAGGCTTGTGTGGTTCTTATGAACAGAAGTTACCTTTGGTGGGTTTTGTATGTGAATGTTTGTGTGTGTGCACTTCTTTGGAAGCCAGAAGTCAGCCTCAGGTCTTCTTCAGGGTGCCGTCAATCTCGGCTGTTGTTATTATTTGTCTGTTTCTTGGTGTTTGTTTGTCTGTTTGATTTTTTTTTTTTTTTAGAAAGGGTCTATCACTCGCTGTCCCGGGACTCACTGTGTAGACTGAATTGGCTGACTTCTCCATTATCGGGATTACCTGCATGCATCATTCATACCAACAGGCCAAACTATATATATATGTGGGTTCTGGATATTGGACTCATTTTGCATAAAAAAGCACTTAACTACCTGAACTATCCCTCCAGGAATCTCGACCACTCATGTATTTTTCATACATACGTTTTTAGAGTCTTCAGACATAAAAGGTCATTCAAAATCATCTGAGTGCTAATGATAACGGCAACCTGGCCTCAGAGCTAGGATGTTTGTCACACAAGGTTCTCTTCCTCTTGGAGATATCTTTCGTGCTACCAGGGCTGCCCTGAACACTGTCTACCCACATCAGAGGAGTCCCTGACTACAGCATCAGGCCTATACCCTATACTCTCAAGAAGAAAAGCCTAGTAAATAAGAAAAAAATTAACAGACCTCAAACCCCGTGTCTATAGCCTCACTCCCTAGCTCGAATGGACCTATTTACAGCATCTACATGATGTGCAGATCCAAGACAGGGAGTTCACCAGATTCATCTACTTGTGCTGTCCATCTATGTTTTCCATCTAATAGTTTTCCGTCCAAGAGCAAGAAGAGGAACACGAGATTTTGTAATGAGAAGCATAAACATAGCACAAAGAAGCCAACAGGAGCTGCCACGCCTTGCATTCAGAGCTTTATTCTTGCCACAGTTTGGGGGCTGTGCTCACTCTGGCAGGATGCCTTGATAAAGGAAGCAAGTTACAGAAAATCAGGGAAGCTGGTAGAAGCTGGGGATGAGTAGGTTCAGAAGACACAGCGGAAGGTAAAATTTGGAAGCAGGGCAATCCTTCTGTGTTTAACAGCAGCAATCATCCCCGCTGTCACAGCATGCAGGACCTCGGGACCGCATGGGAATAATTCCCAAACAGCAGCACCCTGAGCCACAGCCACAGCCACAGCCTCCGCCACAGCCTCCGCAGCCTCCAGAGCCACAACCTCCAGAGCCGCAGCCTCCAGAGCCGCAACCTCCAGAGCCACAGCCTCCAGAGCTGCAGCACCCAGAAGTCTCACAGCAGCCAGATCCTGTGTTCCATCCTTGGGGCCGCTGGACCCAGCGTCTCAGAGGACTCACCCCAAAGGTTCTGGGAGCCAAGCAGCAGTAGCTGGTAGAGCAGGGGGCGGAGCATGGGTCAGGGACACCGATACCGCCCTGAGATGCTGAACCACTTGAAGAAGCCTGAGTGTAGTAGGTCTGGTAAGGAACCTGATATTGGACGTAATATGTCTGAGCCTGGCAGGGAGCTGGGCATTTGACACTGGTCTTCTGGCATGGAGCTGGGCACTTGACACTGGTTGTCTGGCATGGAGCGGGGCATTTCACGTATGTTTGGCAGGGAGCTGGGCATTTCACGTAGGTTTTCATCTGGCATGGAACTTGGTACTTCACGAAAGTTTGAGCAGGAACCGGAGTTACATATCTCACAATAGTTTGAGGCTGGCTGGGAGCAAGTCCTGAAGCAATACCTGGAGCAATCCCTGGAGCAATCCCTGGAGTAAACCCTGGAGCAACAACAGTTGGGACCAGGCCTGAAGCAACAACAGTTGGGACCAGGCCTGAAGCCTGGCCTTCTCCAGAGGCACCGCTGCTACCTTGCCCCGCTCCCAATCCCGAACCCTTCACACAAGAAGATGGAAGGAACTGTGGCTGCTTTTGCTGGTCACACATCTTGCCGTGGTTTTGAAAAATCTGAAAAGAAAAGACGCATCAAAACTGTAAGACTAGAAAGGTTTCCTCAAAATTCTGCAGCGCATTCACTTGAGAGGGGTGATCTGTAAAAGATCTTCTCTCGAAGGTTGTTGTCCAGAGGCTGGCTGTCCCATCTGGCAGTAAGGTAGGTGTGGTGTCAAGCATTCTAGGTTGACTTCTTACACCTTTAACTGGCTGTGTGACTTCAGACAAGCCGACACTCACCCCTGCTACTCTGTTTCCATAGTAGCAAACAGAGTGCTTGAAATAGTAACATTTCTACCAAACTCTCCAGGTCTCCCCTTTGTCCTTCAGTGTCTGCCTTGCATTACTCTTCAAACTGTTTAGCCTCCACCACTATTTCCCTTTGAGGTGACATACCTTCTTATTCCTTCTAATCTGGGAAGTCCTTGCAGAGAGCAGATATATGTGCCTGGGCTAACCTGAGTCTTAAACTGAACCTGAGAGAACAAAACTCGGGCTTAAGACTTACAAGTTTCTACCAGTTGCTATTGGAGCATTTGAATATCAGTTCACTTTGCAAGTAGAACAAAGAAAAAATGCCACACGTGGCCCCAGAACTAAAGTGGGTTCAGTTCTCTGAAATCCCTGCCCAGGAAGAACTGGCTCCTCTATCCAGCCCCATTCCCAGTTTCCCACCATTAATGGTATCTTTGTCTTCATGCACTCAATGTCTAGTCCTGGCTCACTCTATCCCATAGCACTCCACCCAGCTCCATCTCAACTCTATTTCTTGCCAAGTCCCTATCACAGGTAACAAGACTTACCTTCTTTCTTGGCAGGAGCAATACTGGAAGAAGCAAAGGCTCTGAGGAGCTCCCATTTGGTGAGACTTTTATAGGGTGGCAATGAAGCAATTTGATGCCATTTAAATGAAGCACCTGAGATCACGAGGACAAGGGCTGATGTTGCATTGGTGAGATTCCTCCCCAGTACGTCTGGCTGTTCAGTCAGAGGCAGAGCATGTCTCTACTTGACATTGAATTTTCCTAAATATGAGATAAATGGCCACCTTCTTCATGAAACAAGACTTTTCCTGGAAGCCATGAGTCACTCCCGTGCAATAAGACTCTAAAACGGGGTTATTTGGTTAAGACTCCCACTATTTCACACACTGTGCCAGAAAGCTACTCTGTCTCCTTTCAATTTGACATGAGTGTTTCTTCTGGGGACTTTGGTGGTAGTTTCTGCTGGTCTAGGGTATTGTGGAAAGACTTTGGCATGGTAGTCTCTGGCTCAGTAGAGTAGGAAGGTAACCAAGAACTTGTTTATTCCAAGAACCATAGGTTATTCTAAGTTAATTTGGAAACTGGATGGCTGTTGTATGATCGCAATCCCCCAAAAGTCAGGTTTCTGGCTCAGAATAGCAGGAAAGTCACTACGAAGTTGTTTATTCCACAGATTATTTTAAGTTAATTTGGGAACCGGATAAAGGCTGTATTGCCTCAGACCCCAGTTTATAAGCCTTCAATGGCTCATCTCAACTTCATCTGTTCCCATGGCCTTCCCTCAGCTCACCTTTCTGGGTCTCATTTCCAGGAATAGATTCCAGGAACCTAGGATTGAAGGATTTCCAGCCAAAAGAATGTGAGTGGTAGCAATGATAAAAATCTATCATTTATTTTAATATTTTTATTTGCCAAAAATGTATGAGGCAGATGCATGCAACAAAGGCCTGAAGGCTAAAAGGAGGTTGCTTAGCATCCAAACTAAGAAAGCAGGCAGGCCAGAATTCAAGTGCAGCCATCATGCTGCAGCAGGCATGATCTTTATTGCTACCAGATATTGTCTTTCATGATTGAATTGTCTTTGAATATCAGCATATTTCATTTCCTCAATACAGTAGATATGGAAAGAAAGACAGGAACAGTATTTCTTAAGCACTACTGTATACTGCTCTGTGTCTGAGCTTAGCTTCCATCATACTCTGTGAGGCAGGCTGTACAGGAAAATAAGACCCAGGGGTTGAAATATTTCACCATAGTCACCATTATCAGTGGGTAACAGTATCGTTAGAACCCAGATTTGTTTCATAGCCAATGAGCTTCCCACCGAGCCTTGAGAGAAGTGAGTGATGCCTGCTATGGGAGGCTATCAAGCCTGTATCTGGAATTGGTTTCAAATGCCATTTCCTTCGATCACCCACTCAAGGCTTCACAAGGTCATTGTGACCTCTCAGATGAAAGGAGGTTCTAAATTGGCTCCAAACAGATCCTCGGTTCGCCAGGATCCTTAAATGAAAGAAAGTGACACTAGTTCATGAACCCCACCACACCCCACATCAGGTCTTACAGAGTCTACTCGTCGACAATTTGGAGGAAAGAAGCAGGGGAGGGTCTGCCCCCGGCTTGAAGAGTGTCCTGGCTCTTCCTGTCGCCCCTGCCCAGTGGGCTTGCCACACTATGTATCATTACTGTGAAGACCACTGTCTATGGGGAAAGTATTGGTCCAGGCCATTACAGTCAACAGTTGTTTCCGAGGCCTGAGTGTTTCATGGAAAGGGAAAGGAAATTATCTTTTTGGGGCAGGGTGGGAGAGGGGAGTCAATCTCTTTATGCCACTAACTTATTAATTTAGTCTTTGCAATAATGGCTCAAATAGAGTGGACACTAGTAGGTAACTGTGAAAAATCGCTTAGCTAAACCTAATTGAACCATAATTTAAACGGAGGCATGAGCTACCTCAGAGCTGATTGTTTCTCCACAGCATGCCACTTCTGATTGGCATCTGGCTGTTTCAGTTGTGTAGGCCTCTCTATTATATGTAGCACAGGCTACATACACACAATTCACAGCAATGACAGGAACTTACAGGATCAGCTGTCCCAGAACATGTCCCCAGAATAAGATGTAGACTTTTCGAGCACAAATGAAGAGAACTGACCTCTTGTTCTACAATTCTTTAGTCCCTCTGGATTTCAGTTTATGAATATAAGGATCTGTTCTATACACAAATGTGCATGCGGCCTACCTGCCTATAGAGGTTTAATTCGCAGAAGGAAGGGAGGGTGAGATTGGGGGCGGATTACAGCTGGTATACAAAGTGAATAAACTATAATTAATAAAAAAAAAGAAAAAAGAAAGAAACGGCATGGAAAAGAAACCTTCTGGAGGACAATAAAGCCTAGCCTAGCACGGAAAACAGAAAAAAAATAAAAAAAAGAGTTGCTAAGTATGTGCCGATCACCACATCTCATCTTAGGTCCTGAGAAACATTAACCAACTAAATAAAATGAATGAATGAAGTAGTGGGGATTTGTATATTGAGGGTACAGACCAGACTAATTTCCCTCCTCCTGTGGTTAAAGGGATCTTTCTCTGCCGTTAGCCAACTTGTGTGTTGCATGCTGGATGTGGGCTCTGATTGGCTCATTTCCTGCTCTGTGGGGTAATGTTCTCACTAATGGTTTTGACATCTTCAGGTGAGAGATACTGCATCCATGTGCCATGCAGACAAGTGTGTGGGCTGTGCTCCACCCATTTTATAGGCTGGAAGGCAGAGCTGGACAAGTCAGAAGATAAGTGCCAGTGTCAAGATGAGTCATGAGGATATCCCAAAAATTCCCAAAGCCTCCACCCATTTTTCCATTTGGCAGCTCATGGGATTATAGACTTGTGTGTTTATGCAATAACAGTCCAATGAACTCACACAAGAATAAGTAGAGAAAATCATCTGAGATGGAAGGGCCTAAAACAAGTTATCAGATTTGGCCTCTGGTTCTATTCTATGTAGAAAGTCCTAGTGGTCTTTAAAGCTCTTTGGAAGCTCTTAGTTAACATTTCATAATTTGCCAGCTGTCTACCTATTAGAATAACAATTCATCTCCTTATAGCACCAGCAGCTATGGGTCCCCAGCATCCAGAGAGTAATTTTTTGACTGGGGCAGGCAGACAGCATGAGTAATATGACAGTTCTTCCCATTTGTATTAATTGCACCTGAGAAAGGGGCTGTCACACCAACATCTAGCCACAGAGTTTTTCTCACCCAGGACCAGAGTTTCAATACTGTCTGTAAGCTGCACATACCACAGCTGCTAGTGAGGGTGCATCCTAGGCCACTACAGCTAGTTAGCAAGTCCTAGGATTGCAGCAGAACGTGACTGGTGTTGCCTGGTCCCATCTCCAAGTAATCCTAAGACTCCTTCAACCCTCTAAGCCTTCCATAACAAATCTACTGTGTGGGACTTTTCTATTTCAAACAGAGTGTTTTGTTCATATGACGAGACACTGACATCCCCAAGCACTTCTATTGTATGTAGTAGGTAATACAGAGCATAATCCTGTCAGGAAAAAGATGGACCCATTTGACAAGTGAAGAAAATAAATATGGAACTTGCGGTGGAGACAAGTAGGGGAGCCACAATAATCTAGGTTTCTTCAATTGGCTTTCCAGGAAAGGCCAGAGAAGCTACTCCAAGACCATTTCAGTTCTCACCTTTCCAGGGTGAATTCTTTGCAGGTTCCTGCATGACCACAAAGCATAGGCATTCTGTACCCTCAGATCTATCGTAGCTAATGCTTCTGCCTCTAGAGAACCATATTAGTTACTCTCCTCATTGCTGTGACAATTCCTTCTTGCTCTCTAAGAGAATGTGTGCTGCTCTGTTAAGTTTTTATGTCATAATGCATATTAATTACACGAAGTAAAGAGTATCAATAAGACATACTCGTATGATATGCTTGATCGTATTCATGTTCACAAGCATGTACACACACACATACACACACATGCACACATGCTAACAATGAATAAAACTAATTAATTTAAATGGAATCACTTGGCATTCTAGCTGACCCTTATTAGTTGTTTTTATAAATACTGGAACATTTTAGATTTTTCTGTAAACATATTAAGAATTAATTAATGTTAAACAAGTTGATTTTTATGAAGTCCAGGCAAAAAATGAACAAGTTGGAATTTAGATAAAAGAATAAATGTGCTGTAAAAACAAATATAT